AAAAAAAAACCCACAGACGAGAGAACTTTTCTAAGAGGGATTAGTGCTCTTTTTCACTACCTGCTTAATCCTTTCTTTTTTTCTGTTGTGAAATCTTTTTTTTTTTGGAAACTCCGCCAGATTTCTGCCTCCCAGAACCCCCCTCGCTCCCTCCCTCCCTCTCTCTTTTTCCATTTTTCGAGAGCCGCTTCCTTTTAAATGACCTCGTTCATTTCTACGATTTCCTCAATTCGGGGCCGATTTGAGGATTTAGGTTTCCTGCTTAGACGCCGAAGGGAGATCTCTTCAGATCTGCGGCCCCGGTCTGCAGCTTTTTTTTTTTTGTTCTTGGAAGCCCTCTCTCTCTCTCTCCCAGGCGTCATGGCGGCGCTCACCGCTGCCTCCCAGCTCCAGGGGGGTCTGGCCTTCAGTTCCAGACGGGGACACCCGTCTGTGTGGAGTTAGCATGTTCTCTTCCCAAATTCCCACTCGCCTCTCCCAGGAAAACGCCCTCCCCCCCTTACCCCCTCCCCCCAGGGTGTGTTTAAAGAAATTTCATCCGTTTTGTTTGTGTGTGAGGGGATTCCCAGTACGAGCAGTTCTGACTTGGGGACTTGAGGGAAAAATTGAAGCGCGTGAACTCAGTGAGCAGAATACTGTCTTGACTCGTTTGCTTCAGTGGCAGGGTGTTGGTATTGTTCTGTGTGCATGTGTGCAGTGCACAGTACAGCTAGGGTTACATTGAAGGAAGTAGCTCGAGAGGTTTTGCTGGTTTTAAACTCCTTTGTCATGGTATTCATCAGCTTTGCTTAATGGCTTCAAATGTTCCGCAGCTCGTCTGTCACATGAGTGCAGTCTGAGAGTGTCCTGATAATGCAGTCCCTGTACGTGGTGGCAGCTCAGAGGAGCCACGCTTGCCCTCGCTTTGTGTGTTACCACCCGGACTGCTCATGACTCGCCTCTTAATAACAGGAACAATAGCTTTTACTTCGAAAGTGCCTTTCCAAACCCACAGATGGCATATGCATAGTGATAAAGAAAAATCCCAAAAAAGTACGATAAAAAATAAATAAAACGAGAATTTGTCTCGTCACGTCTGAGGAAAGGCATCCCCCCGTAACCGTGGAGCAGCGACGGGAGAGTCTCAGAAAGTCCGAGGTTCGGTCCCGAGCGCAGTGAGCAAAGGGCCAGCCTGCGCTGACCGGAGCCCGAGAGGCAGTGTGAACAAGGAGGGGCCGGCTCTTTTAAAGCTTAAGAAAGTCAGTCGCAAGATCCCCCATCGAACAGGAGACGTTATAGGCAGCCAGTGTAGAGATTTCAGTGTAGGACTGAAAGGCAGCTGCTGGGAGTTCACAGTCTAGCTGTTATGGGTAAATTGCAACTTACTGAGGCCTGTCAGTGAGAGCAACAACTCCCACCCCCCTTCGGAGACTTTTACTCGCTTAGCTTCTGCTTTAGGAAAGGCGCTACAGCAAATCGGGGAGCAGGTCTGCATCAAAGTCCCGTGGCAGACAAGACCAGAAGAGCTTGATCTACTGGACATCCTCTTCGATTTAAAAAAAAAAAGTCCTGATCAGACAGTGACCAAATTCTAATAATCCTTCCTTACACTTATATAGCGCTTTTCTGGACACTCCACTCAAAACACTGTACAAGTGATGGGGACTCCCCTCCACCAGCACCAGTGTGCAGCCCCACCTGGATGATGCACCAGCACTCTCCCCACATGCCAGCTGATTCTCCCCCCTGCTCCCCGATTCTGTCTTCTGCGTCTGCTCCCTGAATCCTCGGCCGCTCTCTGCTGTCGCCCTTCCCTGACGAAGGCCCCGTTCGGTAGGTGTCTACTCCTGTCCCGGTGCCCCCGCACCGCCGACCAGACTGTTTCCCGGCAAGGTTTCGGTTTGCAAGCAGGAAGCAATCCCTCGCTGTCCGAGCAATATGGAGGCGTAGTAACTTCTTCCCGGTTTTTTCACGAGAGCAATGGGCTCTCGTGAGGCACTGCTGAGATTCTGCTTCTCTCCACCTTCTTTCCTTAATTATCCTCATTTTCCCACGTTTGTGATAATCCAGGTTTTCTAATCTGATGAGGCAGTTGCTCTTTATTTTTACTACATTTGAACTTTTTTCTCATAGAGGCTTGTGTGTGTTCAGTGCGGATAGTACAGGATAGTACCTGATGTTTATGCACGTGCTAAGGACTGGAACGATGTAACTACTGGAGAGGACTGGACCGTAAATGAGCAGGAGTGTGATTGTGTTCCTACCCGTTGTTTGTACATCGGCCAAAGACTTTAAGCATGTCTGCAAATAATTAACCTGGAGTGTCATTGTTTCGTCAGCTCTGTGCTGTATTAAGGTGAGATTTGGGTCCTTGAGGAATCACGTCTCTGGAAGCAGTCACAGATTATAATCCAGGAATAACAGGAACTTCATGTGCATTGTGTGAGGTTTTCAGGATTTACACTGCCTAGATTCAAGAGCAGTAGAACT